AGGTCCAGGGACCTGCACCAAACCACACCTCCCAGGAGATCTGTGCAGGGAAGCCACACATCCCAGAGCGCCCTCTTGTGGTTGAAGGAATACCACCGCCTGCCACCTAATCCAGACACCTGCCCTCACTGCAAGTCCTCCTCCTACAGAGAGGGCGAGACAGAGCCACTGGTAATGGAGTCCCCAGCTAGACCACACTCCAAACCGAGCACTCATGGTCATGGAGGAACTCACTAGAGGCTCAGAGGTCTTCAAGGTCCCCGTCACAGTCTTGAAAGCCGAGGCTTTAACCTGGTCCCTGCTCACCTCCCTGACGCCCCTCCACCTGCTCCTGTTCCACACAGGAGGGTGAAGGCCTGAGGCTTCCTGCTCTGCAGTGCATGCTCCTGATGACCCACCCACCAATTCAACTCCCCAGAGCCTTCCAGGGCTCTTCATCCTCCTGGGACCCTTTAGCCTCTCCTTGAGAACCAGTCTCACGCAGACCACTGATGTTCTAGGTGTAAGAAACTAGAATACTGTGAATGATACACACACAGAAATAACCCACAATCTGGTGTCTGCAGTTCACAGCAGAAAGCTTCAGAGTTCTTCAGACTTTGCAGAATGGCAGGGTCTCTTTTGTTGTGCTAATGTTGTGTCTTTTTATGCTAATCAGAAGGCTGGGGAGGGGTGCTAGTGGCCAGAAAAACCAGCCACTTCACTGGAAGGTTGGAACTTTCACCCCAACTCCGGACCTCCAGGGACATCTCCAGAGGGGCTGGAGATTACAGCTGGGCTGCCAGTGGCTAAGATGGACTCCATCTTTGGAGGGGGGCGGGCTTCCTGGCTGGTAAATGTACCAAGATGCTGGGTATGTGGGACGCCCAGAGAAGGCCTGGGAGCTCGGTGGCCAAGCCCATCCCACCCTCCCCCACTATGTCTCTCTGCACCTGGGCTGTTCACCTTACTCTCTCTGTAATAAAATGATTCTCATAGTATTTTCTATGAGCTGTTGCAGGGTGTCATTAAGCTTACAGGCAACCTCAAATTTGTGGCTGACTAGGCAGAAGTGTGGGGATCCTGGGGACCCACTTGTAGCTGGGCAGTGAAGTTGGGGCAGTCCCGTGGGTCCTAGCTAACTCTGGAGGGCCTGCTGGTGTCAGAGAGCTGAGGTCACTGCCAGATGAGGCCTTCGCTATGACTAAATGCCATGGCCACCTGAGGGCAGAGACTCCTGCCCTCCAGAACAGCTGAGAGCAGCCTCACTCCTAGTTTTGACCTGCGTGAACGTGTGAACGAGTGAATGCTCATCTCCAGACCTACTTGCCTCAAAGGAGAACATGTATGAATGAGAACGGGGGTAGCTGTGAATCACCGAGCCTGGTGAAAACTGTGACAGGCCTATGGGTTGCAACTTAAAGAGAGGCAGCAACTGCTACCTGCCCTGCCACTTACCCTGTTCTGCACCAGTGTTCTCCAGGGAGATTAAAAACCACATCATGTAAGAAATCAGCATTTTAAACAAGGTGCTCTTTAGCTCTCTGCTAGTTTTATTTGGTCAAAACTACGGTGAGTAAAGTGCCTGGGGCTCCTGTTGCAGCCCTACATGGGCAATCTCTCCCTGGCTCTTCAAGTGGGAGCAGAGCCAGGGCCTCACTGGGCACAGGGCTTTCTGGACCTTTGAAGGCACCTGGGGGGCAAGGCACCACCGGACTCAGTCCTCACAGCAAGAGTCCTTACCACCCCAGGCTCCTGGCTTTCCTCTGAAATGCAATCACCTTGTGCAGGAGCTTTGTTCAACTCAAACACTTCTTCTCATTCCTGACTGTCACAGTAGGTCTGAAAGGGAAAGTCCTACTGCTCTACAGATGCTATAAGGACCTCCAAATGGTATCAGGTTAATACTGTAACTCTCAACCTGTCGGATGTTTGACATGCCAAGTTTGTTTTCTAACATCGAAGAATCAATTTTAGGAACAACAGAGGATAAGAGCAGGAAATATTTAGGCCAGGGATTTAACTCAGAGGTGCTGTGCCTGCCCCACAAGCACAAAGTCCTGAGTTCAATCCCTGGTATCAGAAATAACAACAACAACAAAAAGAGTAGGAAATATTTATTGAGAGAAACATAGCTTCTAAGAGAGACTGAAGGGGACCTGGAAAGTGGGTTGCCATGGACCCCACTTATAGGGCAGGCTTTTAAGAGCAAAATCATGAGGTGGGTGCACTTGGGATGAAACTATGGTCAACGAGTAAGAGTACAAGTACAGTCCCGTAGCTACTACTGATCAAATCAGGTAGCAGCCACTTAATGAACAAAGACCTCGCCTAGAAGGGCCAGTCAAGGACTTGGTCCCCATCTAGGTGACTGATACCTATTTAGAATAGGAATCATTCTTTTTCATCATGGAAAGGGGAAAAAATGGGAACAAAGATTTTGTAAATAGAAAAGGGGTTGAAGGGAGGGTAGGGGTATGGGAAGAAAGCAGCAGCAAGATAAAACATGTGCAGGTACAAATTCCCTATAAGTGTGACCCTTAAGCACATCTAAACTGTACCAATGAACTGACTAATTAGAGAGAATACTAGTCATCACCGTTTATCCCTGGGGAAGTAGGTGCAACCATTTCATCTTTGTCTCCAGGTTTGGCCTTTGGTGAATGTGCCTCCACCCACCATGTCCTCTTACCTTGTGCACTGGCTTCTTGGAGGGCCCAGCCCTTCTGACTGCCTGCGGTATTTCTAACCAACTTAGCTGTCTACAAGGCAGCCAGCCCTGCTCCCACAGGTGGGGTCTGGCTGCCCTTACTTCTGCATTTCCTGCTCTGGCATCCTGGGGCCCCCAGGAGGACTAGCCGCAGCCCACACCCTGGCTGTTCCCTGCCATTGCTCCACAGAGGAAGGCCCTAGAACCCATCCCTCTCTAAAATGCAAAGGAAGCGGGTGAGACGGGCCCTGGCCTTGGCTGGTGCCCTCTTCTCAGCCCCAGGGATGGTAGTCATCACTACACTGAGCACACCTGGTTCAACTAGCCGGCTGGGGGAGCCCACCCTCCTCAGGAGGCAGTGCACCCCAGCCTGGCCCAGGACATTTCTAATGAAGTAGAGGTCCCCAGCTTGGCTCAGAGTGAGTGGTTGTAATTAGCCTAAAGGAGAGTTTCATGCAGTTTCTCCTCTACTTAAGCAAGCACCTATTTTGTTTTGCTTTGGTGGAGCCAGGGATGGAACTCAGGGCCTGGTGCATGCTAGGCAAGTGCTATCCCACTGATCTCGTACCCCAAGCCCAACAGCATTTTAACTATAGTGGAACTGTTAAAACACAGGTTTTAATACAAACCTCCAATGATGAATGTCATTGTACTGTACACCTAAAATGTACTATTTAAAAAATATCTGTATATATATGTTTCAAGGTTTAAAACTAATTTAGACTTCTTTTACAAACTTACGAGCTGTTCAGCCCACACAGCTGTGCTCACATCCCTATGCCTGGAGTCACTGCTAAGCACACACCTGACACTGAGGCTTTACACTCCACCCTGCCCAGAAAGCAGCTGCAGAGGTGTCACTGCGGCCAAGGGAAGCAGGAGCTCCCCACTGCGACACCAGCAAGGCCCTGCCGACTCTTTGCGTGGCCCAGACTGACCCCCCTCGTTTCTAGCAGGCAGATGCCCCATTCACCCCTCGGACTGACTCACGCCAGACTCTCAGTAGATGGCCCAGAAAATGTAAGAGCCAAGAGACTGCCCAGCGGCCCCATACTGTATGATTCTGTCTACACCAAATCCACAAGAGCTGAAGCCAGGTACAAGCACAGGTGAGCAGTTATTGGCTCAGGGGCTACAGGGAGGTGGCAAAGGACTACTGAGCCTGCCTGAGGTGTCTTTCTGAATATGCTGAAACAGACAGTCGTGGTGGCTGTGCTATATTGTGAATGTATAAAAAAAATCACCGAAACATTTAATTTTTAAATAGCTAAAATGGTACATTTTATGTTATGTGAATTTTACTGCAATAAGAAAAACAATGACTGTCTTACCTTCCTCCCAAAGATTTACTAGAAAAATGTTCAAGCATTTCATAACCACAGTACTGGGAACTGGAAGGACTGGCCTCTTTAAAGCTGGAGAGTGATCAACCCAGCATCACAAGGGGCCCGGGTCAGGAGTGTGCCAGGACCGCGGGCATCGACCCACCAACCAGAGGAGACCAGGGCACTGGGTGTGGCGCAGTGATAGAATCCAAGCTGAACCCTCGCAGAACTGCCAGGCAGATGCTAGAGAGCGGCTGGGGACACCAGGCAGGGGCCTCAAGAGCACCGCGCAGCTCTTGCGGGACAGCAGGGACAGCAGCAAGGCTCCGAAGCGACTTGTGCTTTAGTAGCATGATCACGCAGACTGAGGCTTACATTCAGTCAAAAGAATCATCTTGGGCTGAATTTGAAGATTTGATCCCTTTGAAACAAAATGTTTCACAAACTCTGCTGAAATAAGAAATACTTCTGATTTTTAAAAATGAATTCTCAGTTTTGGAAAGAACTATATGGTCTCAGCTGACAAAGGAAGACATTTTGCAACCTTAATACAACCAAATCCGATTTGGGAATTATCTTGAGGAGCTATGCAGTGTAGCTCTTTGTTCTGATTGTGGAACACATATACACACATGGGTGTGTACATGTACTGTGTAGAAACATACTGAGTTTCAACAAAACAGATGCTTTAAAATCAGTCGGTATTTCTTTTTTCCACGAGTCGATTACTGAATTAGGCAGACGCAAAGGCCCACAGAATGTGATGCTGGCACTCAACAGCCAAACATCTAAGAAAGGAAATGATTAAAAGACACACACACACACACACACACACACTTTTATTAAAGTTATGGGAAATTAAGTGGCATGACTGATTGTTCTGACTGGGAGGGAAACCTGGGCAGCCAGAGTAGGCCTGAACAACCACGGAAAGCCCACAGCAAGGAACACACCGTGACCAGCCAACAGAGTCGGAGTACACTTACCCAGGGCGTCCACTGGCGGATACACGGTGAGAAAGTGCAGGACACACAATTGACACAAAAAGGAAAACAACAGAGTCAAACCGGTGTTGGAGCAGCAGCCTTCTTACCTTCTTCTGCATACATGGGTCGCTACCACACTTTCCACCTGGGCGGCTGGTCCCATATCTGCTGACACTGCTGTCCACCTTCCTGCCTGCCTGTACCTTTTCCTTCTCACCTGGACAAGCATCTTCCCAGTCATATCACCCAAAAAGAGTGAGGATTTTATAAAGAAAAATGAAGAATATGGACCCACAAGAGGCCATTTCAGATTTTAGCAAGGAAATCTTTTAAGTGTAATTTATTATAATGAACCAAACTTTAAAGTAGAATAAAAATTAAAAGGCCAGGGATTTAGCTCAGTGGTTCTGCCGCCTGCCTCACAAGCGCAGGTCCTGAGTTCAATCCCCGGTCAAAAAAAAAAAAACAAAAATTAAAGGATATAAAAAGACCTCAAATTTTAATATAGTAACAAATACTATGCTGGTATGAAAGTATGAGTCAAACATATCGGACATTGGCTTTGCAGACTCTAGTGAAAAATGATGGCTAAGTTCATACATGATCATTCCAGTTCTTCCTCAAGAAAGTCTCTGATAAACCTTTAGAGCTTGCAGATCAAAACAGAAGGCTCTACAATAATTAATGTTTTTATGTATTTATTTTTGCAGCGCTGAGGATCAAACCCAGTCCCTTGAGCACACAAGGCAAGCACTCTGTCCCTGAGCTACATCCTCAACCCAATTTTTAAATTTAAACTAAGAATATGGGAGTCAGGGGAGCAGCTCAGAGGCAGAGCGACTGCCTACCATGTGTAAGTACCTGGGCTCAGTCCCAGTTTGGTCCCAGGGACCAAATCCCCAGTACAGCAAACGTTCACAATGATAACATGCCAGTTAAGTCGAACGAGAAGGCTGCTGGCTTCACACAGTAAGGACAACAGGGATGCAAATTAATCTGTCTGCAACTTCCCATTCTCCCTAACTTCTGCAGGGCCCCAAAGGCAGTGAACAGGCATCATGTGGCAAAAGACACCAGCTCGCCCCACACTGCTTCTGAGCTTCCGCCGTGTGGTTCCCCACACCCATGGACGAGACTGGCTCTATCCTGTGCTTCTGACCCTGCGCAGGGGCCCAGAGCTTCCCTGGGCTCAGGGACCATCCCCCTCCAAGCCAACCCCACCTGTGTGTGTTCCCAGGAGCTGCCACACAGCCTGCCATTCATCTACCACCAGAGCGCATTTCAAGTTGCTTTTAAACAAATTTGGGATGTCTAAGCACCTTTCATTTACAAATTACCACTCTCTATAATAAAAAAAGATCACAAAGGTGATAAAGGTGGTGTTTGCAGAGTAAGAAGGTGAATATCACATCCCATGCAGTGTCTGCCCACACCAAAGTGCTAAGACCACGCCTGTCCACACAAAGAAAGAGTTGAAAGAATTTCTAGATCAAAGTTCAAAGATCTCAAAGAAGGCATGGCAGAAAACTGCTTGACAAGAGTCCTAAAAACAGTGATTATCTGGCTGCAAAAACCCGATTCCGCTCTCTCTGGACACATACAGAACCGTACCCAGTGCCTTCCATCCTGACACAGGAGCACTTTATGAGCCAAGTGTCCAGGAATCTGCCACCTAGTGAGGATGAAACAGATACCACGAGAGGTTTTCAGGCAGAGAGGAAAACTTCAGCTAACCGTAGTTCAAACAACCGCAAGCCTTCAGATTTCTTCTGTCCCCTGAATCTGTGCTGTTCTCAGGTCACCCTACCTGGAGGGCGCTCGTCCAGAATGCAACTCGGCAGCCTTCCAGAAGAACGTGCTCACTACCCCCAAAACACAAGCACAGGAGCTGAACACCTGGCCCCAAACATGCAATTAAATAATCTACAAAAAAATTTATGAAGAAACAAAAACCATTTGCAGGTCATCCTGGAAGTACCAAGAAAATCACCTGGAATACTTCAAGCTACTGGCCTAATGAGCTATAGCCCCAAGCACACCATGTATGTGGTGGGCTGGATTACTATGCAGAGTGTGACTTTAGCAAGCCCTGCTCACAGCCTCAGGCCTGAAACAGAGCCCAAGAAACCTAACAACTTGATGCCGACTACTCCCAAAACCTGGGCAGACACATTTCATGTTACACCACCAGGAACCCTGTGAGTCCCGGATCTTCCAGCCCACCCAGAGGGCAGCTTGTCATCCTCAGGCCACCTGAGCCAATAGTGGCTAGGGCTGGTCGCCAGAAACATCTTTCTATGTCACACCAACCAACCTATCAGGCCTCACCCAGAGGTCCAGATTCTGCTAACTGGGCAACCTGGTGACCCCTAAGCAGCAGGCGAGGGCCCTTCCAGCCTTCACGCAGAGCGGAGACAAAAGGGTTTATCACTGCAGTCAGAATTTTTAAGGCCTGGAAAAGAGCGCTCAGGAAAGGCTAAGCAAAAAGAACTACTTTTCTTACTCCCTCCTCTTCACCAAAACCCTTTTCTAAGCCTAAGAATCATCCTGGACCTTCTCTCTGGGCCCGAAAATCCCTCCAAGCTGCCAGTGAAGTTTATTTGCAAAAATTTACTGGTTACTTGCTACAATGATGTCATTGGCCACAGCCCTATTACCTGCCAAACACCAGCCCTCAGGGGTCCACTTTAGATAGAATGTAAATCCAAGACACCTGACCAGAAAACACATCCCCAAGAAATGTCCGGAGCCAACCCAGGCAAAGATCTGACTGTTGGGGGAAAAAACCTGCTGTCTTTATCTTGAAATGGGCTAATTGTTTTTTGCAAAAATTGAGAGGACAGGATTTTTTTCATCCTGGGATTGAACTCAGGGCCTTTGCACTAATCCCAGGCCCTTTTATTTTTTATTTTGAGACAGAGTCTCAAAAGTAAGTTGTCCAGTTGGGCTCCAATTTAATGACCCCTGTGTCAGCCTCCCAGAGTGCTGGAAATAGAGGTATGCACCGCCAGGCCCAGCTTGGAACTTTAACTGTCAACGTTTAAAAACTGTCCAGTCATCATCTCCTTCCTGAGCACCCTCCCCATCCCGTCTTCCTAAATGCATTTTCTGTTAACTCCAAAGGGAAACAGCTTGGGAAAGAGGCAGATAGGTCTGAGACCTCTCTCCCTAGGAAGCCCGCTGATGCTGACGAAGATTACCCTGACCACCACCCACAGAGCAGCCTGGTGGGAGAACCCCATTTCACCAGCAGGGCAGGGATGCAGCAGATTCAAAAATTGCTCAAGAACAAAGCCCAGAAGGAGCGCCACCGCCTCCACCTCAAAGGAAGGTCCTCACGTTTCAGCCTGTAGCAGATTGCTGCAAATGCCTGCAAAGTGGACCTAGCCAGCTTTCTCTTGTCAAACTCACTTCCATTCTGAAGGAGCAAAGACGGGCCAGAGGTGTGACCATTCACTGGTTCACGAGTGACAACAAGCAGAGAGGTGGAGGCAGCGACATACTGTACCCTCCTTGGTTTCCCTCAGTGGTGAATTAGCAAGCTCTGCCCTCAGGAAGACCAAGAGAAACCCCCCCTAGACAGCAGAGATTTCCGGCGCCCCTGCAGCCCGACACTCTCACCAGACTTAACAGAGGGTTTTGCAAAACGTGAATGACATCACTGCTGCAATAATTATACTGAACATTTGCATAAGGCTTATGTACTATCCCAAGGCTTCCAAGGAATTTCTAGTTTTCACTACAAAGCACAGTAGTCATGGGAAATGTCTACTTTAGAAACACAAAGGTGGGGAAGGAGTAAACCAAGCACTACTTGGCAAAGGCTTCCAATTGATACGGATTCTGCATTCTGAGAACTCTAGTCCTGGCAGACTGACTGCTTCCATCAGGTTCTCCAGGGCCATCAGCTACAAGGAAGTCTAAGCAAGGAACACCTGGCTTTAAAGACAAAACCAGCAAGTGTTCAGTTTTGCTCAGTGGAACGGTTTCGGGGCAGAGTTTTCAGTTACCTTTTTTTGCTTTCTTCTGCAGTTTCAGGGTATCTGAGGACTTCTTTTTTATTTCTTGGCGAGCTTTTTTATATTCTAAGAGAAAGCAGAATAGGGAATGATTTTACCATTTTGCTCAACAAAAAACACTTTAGGAACAGCCATTACATTACCTTTGTCAGAGAAAGCACAAACTCTGACAAGAAGGTACTTTACAATAAAAATCCCGCCACCACATTTCACAACAAAGGTACTATGTACTTGAAAAGCAACAAAACGCTCCTGGGTCTTCCCTGTCACTGAAGCCTTGAGGAAAGATGTCACCTGGGAATATTCTGATAAGCAGTCCCCCTAGCACTCACCTCGGTGCTGCCCCTCTTGCTAGCTCTACTCCTCACGGTGCTGGCTAGGCTGGTGCGGACGGGACCAGAGCCGAGGTCGGCGGCTTTCTGATGTCTGTGCCTGTCCGTCTGGCTTGCTTTCTGGCAAGGACACCTCCCCACTGCCCAGGCGCAGTGACGAGGCTGTGTCCACCAAGCTCGTGCTCACCCACCCTCAGCTCCTGCAGCACCTTCTCCCTGTGTTCTCCGCCTTCCCAGAGGGCAGCGGTGCCTTGGGCTCCTTTGTGCACTGCAGACTGGGTTCCCTGAGGTCCAGAGCCTGTGTTCTCTTGGCCTAGGGGTGGGACCCCAAGCTCCTGACTGCCCCAGAGGTGTGCTGAGCCCTCAGTGCGTGTGCCCAGGGTGGGTGGGGACTCTGCCTGCTGCGATGCTGAGGGACAAACAGAGAAGCGCCTTCACAAGCACCGTGAGGCAGCAGAGGGGACACGGACTGCATCGAGGACCACTGTTGTTTCAGACCGGGAGAACCCAGCAGAGCTCTGTACGAGCTACTGCCCCTCCCCACAGGCCCGGCAGAGTCTCTCATGGAAGCTTTACACAAGCAATTTAGTCTTCATTTGAAAAACAAAGAAAAGTCAGCTGGCTGCACCAGCAAATGGGTTCATTCGATCAAGAAACTGGTGCCATCCCACCTGAACAAGCCTTCAAACATTTCTGCTTTCTTTTACCCAGTGCAGTAGAGACGGACACACCCAGGGCACCCCAGAAGACCACTGGGCTGACATCACACAGCAGGACAGTACATCTTTCCCCTGGCCTGGCTCGCTAACTTCAGATGAGCAGAAAAAGAATGTTTAGGGTGGTCTCAAAGTAAGTCCCAGTGGGGAAACGCCAGGCAGAGCAGACCTTTTTTTTTTTTAAAGACAGGGTCTCGCTATATAGCCCAGGCAGGCCTCAAACCTCAGGCAGGCCTCAGCCTCCTGAATGCCGGGATCACAGGTGTGCACCACCATACCCGGCCCAGGAGGGGTAGATCTTAAGTAAATTCTTTTAAAACAGCATGGATTTAAGATATCATTTTCCCTGTTAAAGATGAATTATAACTTTAAAAAAAAGTAAGATAAATAAAAGATTTTGATATATTTCTTGTACAACTACTAAATATTTGGCAACTGTATGGAGTATGGACTCCTAAAAATCTTCTTCTAACAAATAGTTACATTTTATTGCTTTAATGGCAAAAGCTGTATGATCTGTGTTCATATTTGTTTAGGCCTTGCCATTCCTCATTCTCTAGTCAAAATGGTTGCTGAAGTTCTTTGCAAGACCAACTTCATTAACAATGAAGACAACCACAGGGGCCTGGAGCCTGTGACTGACAAGTTTACAGGAGCAGCTGCCAATCAGCATCGCTTGTCTTTGCGGTCCAGTTAATGGAGCACAGTAAAGGGCCTCAACAGCTCCAAGGTGCATGATGAGAGAAAGGCTGCAGGCTCTTGGTGGATGGACAACAGTCCAGCGGTCACTGACAGCCCATAGGGTGTATAGTGCATTTCACAAGACAGCCTGCAGCAGGCAAAATCAACTTTTTCGCAGCCACACAGTGTCTCACTTCCAAAGCCCACAGAAGTGGCTCAGCCCCAACCCCAAGGGCATTCAGCAGCACCTGTGCTAGTGGCAACCAAACTCGGTACACACTCAACAGCAGGTGACCTGAGCAAGGGACGAGACCTCATTAGGAAAGCCTTGCTGGCCTCTGCAAAGGGAACACCAAGTTCCTTCTCACACCAGCAAGGTCCTGACCAAGGCCTAACTAAAGCAGTTCACTACAGACAAAGCAGTGAGAATGGCCAGTTTGTGGTGACTGAGGTAAGTGTGCATGCTTGTACCACACCTGCCCTTGCATGCACATCTAACTCACTGACCACAATGTCACCAAGCACCCAGACTGTCAGCTGCTAGGTGATGTGGGCTCCTTGTCCCTGACCCGGAAATGTCCCTAAGGAGCAGCACAGAGGGTCCTGAGCCATTCTGGGGACACAGGCTAGCAGCTAGCAGCACCCATGGCTCTTCCCAGAGTTTGGGGGACACAGAAGACATGAAACCCTGTACCTTTTGCATGGTCTTTATCCAGCTGGTTGGCCACTTTCTTCCACTCTTCCATCTGCTCTTGAAGTGGATTTATCAGACAATCAATTAAAGCACTTTTGCCAAAGGAGAAAGAGGAGAAATTAAACAGGTATGTTCTGTTGTAAGGCTCACATTTCACTGTCAAAACAAACCTACTATATCACATCCCTGAAGCATGCAGAGCAGCATAAATGAGCTGACACTTGCGGATGTGGAGAGCCCATGGCTGTCTGGAGGGACCCTGCTACCCATTTGATAGTCTGTGACTCTGCACTTGTATGCTAGCAACTGCCAGCTCCCTCACGTGTCCCCTTTCTGGGAGCTGGAAGTCTGCATGGAGGCTGCAGGAGCTCCGACCCCTCCATGGGTCTGCAGGGAGTGCGCAGGCCTGGGTGGGCAGTGTCGCACACACCCTTCTCCCTTCTAAGAGGCTCCTCGGAGCAGTGGGGGCCCCCACTCGCCTCAGCAGGATGCACTGACCCCTCAGTTCAGGGACTGCAAGCAGAGACCCATGCCAAGCCCAGAGACACGCGACAGTACAGGCTCCGGCAGGAGGGAACTGGCCAGCGGTCCTCCACGCAGCCCCCTGCCGAGGCCAGTGACAGCAACAGCCTGCAGCAGCACACGGGCCAGGGCTCACCACCGGCACTGCCTAGCCCAGGCCCGACGAGAAACAGAGGCTGGACACATGCACACTCAGGGAATGGGAAGTCGGGGGACGTGCGGGCTGTGGGAGTCACGTGCTATGGGGAGACGTGAGGCGTGGCTTAGGTCACAGCTTCTCCAACCTGAAATGCATCAGGGCAGAACACACTCCTCACCTCGAAAACTGCCTCAGCTTGGCTTCTATGCTTCTGTGCCTCATGCACATCCTGGTGAGAGCCGATCCGATCTCCCTGGTACCGCCTGGAAAATCAACAGAAGCAAAGTTGAGAAGGGGGACGAGCAGGAGTCCCTGAGATCGCCGGAGGATTTTTAAAGCAAGCCAGGTCTCACCACACTGTAAAACCTAAGCCATTGCCTTCCAAACTTCACATCACACATGTGTGCACAGACAAGAACACGCATGTAAATAAAGGAATGTATAGTGACATGTTTACACAGCGCTCTTACTAGATGATACTCTGGTATTTCCTTTTCTGATATTTTTGTGATTCAGAATCAACCTTACAATCCATTCATTAATGGGACCTTTACTTTAAAAACACACTGCTCATAGAAGAGATAATCGATCAGGACCTGACATTCAGGGAGAAGCTATAGATTTCCTTGAACCCCATTTCTGGCCAAGTAACCCTCAATGTTACTTAGATGGCTATGGAGGCACTCCCTCTAATCACTCCAAGACACAGGCCCTAACATGCCAGTCACTCTGAGAAAAGCAAGGCTAAGCAGAAACTCAGCGACTCAGCATTTTCTAAGTGGCCTTGGAGAACATGGGCGGCAGAGGTCTTCCAGCTCAGCAGATGGGGAAGGCAGCTGCAGCACAGTTTGCTTTTTCTTGCCATACTTTCCCTCCAGGCACACCCTTCTCCAGGATTATTTCTGAGGTGCTTGTATTCCTTTCCCCTCTTTGAAACAACACCTGAGGGGCACCAATGATGACCTCGGAGGGTAACTGTATATACCAAACCCTCGGAGGCAGTTATCAATCTTAGAAACACACAGGCACTTGTAAAAGTGGGAGGAAGCATCAAATACAGCACTATTTTTTAACAGACAAGGCCTTCAAGGGAAACCACGGGAATTTACAGCAGGTTTAACCAAGTCAACAGAAAAACACTTCCCTCTTATTAGTACACAAAATATTCATATGGGTTCTATCTGACCTCTCTTCTAGAAGTGCTAATGTGTTGTTTCAGTTCTACCTGTTTTCTATTTTATCCTGCAAAATTAATAGGTTTCCACAATGGAATAGTAGTAACAATGGTGACACAGATTAAATTTTAACATTTTTGTATTTTAGTCTGCAAAGAGGCACTTTTCCCAGGGCACTCCTTCTGTTTCATTTCCCCCACAGAAGGCTTCCCAACCTGAACACCACTGCCCTTTGCTGCAGGGCTGAAGCACCTTTAACTGCTTAGCAGCACCTTGGGCTCCATCCACCAGAGGCCCGTAGGAGCCCCCACACACTGTACCTCTCAGATTTGTGCTGCCTATAAACTGGGTCTCTGGATACTACCAAATGTTCCCAGGGAAAAAAGCACCCCTTGATGAGAATTTCTGCTGTATGAGAACCTGACCAGGAAGTAACCTTCACCTGAGGCTCCCTCTGAAGTGGCCCAAAGTCTTTAAAATGCTACCTACCCTTTGCTTCCTGGTACCTGGGCCTGAGGGACAAGGGATACAGCACTGAGCCCACCTCACTATCTCCACCTGCCAGGGAGCCCACGGAGAGTGTGGTGCTCACCTGGGCTCGTTCTGGCTCCTCCGAGCTTTTACTAATTGCAAGCAGAGACACTTTATCCCAGGGAAGTATCTCCTACCCTTTCCAGGCCTCCACGTGAGAAAGTTAACCACCAGGCCACTCCAGAAACCAGCACACTCATCCATCTCTGGGAAGGGTAGCCTAATGCTGTCCTGGAAGAAAGAAAACCTGGCCGATCCATCAAGAAATGCCCTGACACTATGCATGCCCCCCGCAGCAGCTCTAATCCTGGAAAGGTAACCCAAGGAAAGAACTGAGGATGAGAGAATCCTTACCTATGAGGGCAGTCACTGAAATGTTGTTTGCAACACCAACGCCTGGAAACCAAGTCCCACTACAGGAAGCTGGTTAAACCAATGCCGTCACTTAAACAACACTGGAGAACAATGTGGGCAGCCACACAGCTGCACCCTCTAGAGGGAGGCTTGGTGCTGGCCCAAGGACCCTGCACAGAGTGGTGCATTTGACCCTCACAACACTGCCAGTCGCACTGGCACTTTTTCGTGCCCACGTGAAAGACGGAAAGTACTTCAAAGTTTGTCCAAAGTGATGTGGCTGAGAAGTGAAACTCAACGGGCTGCACCACCTGGGCCGATGCTGTCGGTCCACTCAGCTACACGACACTCATACAGAGAGGAGACGGGCAGGGGCAGACACCAGAGCTGAGGACAAACGGCACCCCACACTTACGCAGCTGCACGCGAGTGTGGTGCCAGGGCCTTTCCAGTCAGTTATCCACTTCAGTTCCTGAGTCAGAGCTGCCTGACTGTTAGCTCGACACTGAGAGCATCCTAGCAAGCTGGGGATAGTGCAGAGATGGGGTACTCAAGGACAACCCACACCTCATTTCCTCGAGACAGATTAAGGCACGGAAGAGGTCACCTCAGAGGCCAGTCTCCCCACGCCATCTCTCTGCCCTATTGTTTCAGTTCCTTCCCAGAGACCCTCCATAGATTTATTTTATCCTGTGGAAAGCCCAGGGCCTCTGGGAAACGGCTGCACTATGGGGCCTGTCGAGCAGTTCACAACACAATGCCTGTGCAGGGCTGGAAGCTCTATGAGGAGAGGAAATAACACTCCAAACAGCAGTGTCTCCATCCACCTGGCATGGGGCAGGAGGCAGGTGGCATCCGCTGTGGGCCCCAGGACCCAGCACTGGGATCTTCACTGGTCTCAGCAACAGGGGCACCCCAAAAATAGGTCCAGCTGTGTAAGTACTTAACCACAGCTTATGTGCTCCCTGACCCCTGCTGGAATTTAACAAAACTCAGCAGCTTTAAATCAGAGGAAACTGGCTGGAGCTGTAAAGAAGACAGAGGGGACATCAGGAAGAACTCCAACTGGACAGAAAATACGGAACCAAAGGGGCGGGTGAGGTGCTTCGCAGACTGAGTCAGGAAAAGATCTTTCTCATTTCTGAGTTCTCAGCACCCAGCACTGACAGTGAATGAAGAAATCAACATTTCCATTCTGAAAAATCACCAGGCTGGCACCACTGCAGGCCAGATCAGGAATTAGTTTGTCTTTTCTTTATTCCATAAATACTTGTGTGCCTTCTATGGATAAACTATAAAACGAAGGTTCAAAACAAATACAAGATGCTTAATCTTGGAAAAGGTCTCTACAGATTTAAGGCCGGCCTAGGGAAATGATGGTGTATTAGTCTCCTATTGCTGCTGTAACAAATTACCACAGACGTAGTGCCCTAAAGCAACACTTATTTATTATCTGGCAGTTCTAGAAGTCCGAAGTCCAAAATGGGGTTTCACTGGGCAAAACTCAGTGCCTTCCAGAGGCTCCAGGGTGAATCTGTTTCTTGCACCTCTCATGCCTGACCCAGAAGATGCCTGCATTCCTGGCCTCATGTGCCTTTCCTGTACCAGAGCTTCATCTTCCCTCCACTTGGGTCTCTCTCCTGACCTCTGCTTCTGTCCCACTGTCTTCTCTGACTCTGATTCCCACACCTCCCTCTCACTGAAGCCTGTGGCCATACTGGACTCACCCCAGATGACGCCCCTGTCTCAAGATCCTTGGCTGCACCATGTGTGTACAGGCCTTTGCGAAGGGACGTGTGAGGTAACATGCACAGGTGAACTGCTCTGCCTGCCCAGAGTGGTGAGTAAGGAGCAGGTGGAGGCCCCCAGGCTGAATGTGTCCAGTCACCCTCAGACACTGTCTCATCCCTCTGGCAGCAACTACATGGGGTTGGCAAAGAGAGAAGCCTGCTAGGAGAGTTTCCCCGCTCTGAAGAGTCACATCAAAGGGACCCACAGGGTATGAGCAAGGACTCGGGCTATGGCACCACGGTGCGCCGGCCTCATGGCGGTGGGGTTATGGCCTTCCAGGGGGCTCATAGACGACAGAGAGCCTGAGCCCCGATCCTGCTGCTTAGGGACACACATCTGAACTCCCTTCCATGTGGCATATGCCAGACTTTTCCCCCACAATAAGCAAAGGTTTTTATAACAAGCACAGAACAGTCACTGATGTGAACGGGATGATCCGGAAGGTGATACTCAGTGGAAACGAGCAAGAACCGGTCTGCGGCAGGTGGAGGGAGCGTGCACATGGCACAGGCAGACCGGTACACACCCGCAGCACTCACAAAGAATCCTGTTCATTTCCTGGGGCTGTGAAACCAAGAGCACCAGGCTGCTGGCTGGAAATCACCACAATGAGTTCTCCACAGTTCTGGAGGCTCCCAGCAGCATGGGGGGCAGGGCGGGGCAGGGGTACCTCCCTCGGAGCCCCTGGTGCCCTGCAACACCTCAGCTTGTAGCTACAACATGCTGCTCTACTCCATGCTCACATGGCCGCCCCGCTGTGTTTGGCCCGTGTCCTGTGTCTTCCCGTGAGATGTATGAGAAGTGTATGCCAGTGGCCAAATCTCCTCTTTCTTATGAAGATACCAGTATTAGGCAGGCATGGCTGTGCATGCCTGTCATCCCCACAATGTGGGAGGCTGAGGCGAGAGAATTACAAATCTGAGCCCAATCTGGGGAACTTAGTGACTTAGCAAGAGACTGTCGTGAAATTAGAAAGAGATAAAATAAAAGGCTGAGAATGTAGCTCAGTGCAAAGACAATGGGTCCAATTCCCAGTTCTAAAAGAAGAAAGCTAGCAAAGAAAAATAATAGCAGTGTTACTGTGTTAAGACCCATTCTAGAAATCTGCTTTAACTTCACTACACCTGCAGCACCTGAGCCCAAACAACTGTACTTCCAGGGCCTGGAGACTCATCTTCTGGGGAGACACAAGGCAACCCACAATGAGTACCCACACTCAGCAAGGACTAACATGATGCCAAAGGCAGGGAAGAGGGCTCAGCCCTGCAGGCTCCCAGCGGCCTGGGACACCTGAACAGCTGCACAGGAATGTTCTTCAGGCACCGAAGCTCAGGAGGGCTGCCAGCCTGTGAGAGTCACAAGGCTGGTCAGGATCAATCAGGAGCCACACTCTGCTTTGCCTGATACACAGG